GTATACACTCTGAAGTAAAGGTAATTTGTTTTATAGAAAATGTTAAAAAAGAAGGCTACAATAAGACGGTAAGGGTTTAAATTTGGCTTTGCCCAATCTCAAAAGGTTTTAAATACATTTTCAAACATCCTAAAACATACAGAGGAACGGAACACTCTCAGGGAGCACAAATATTCTTTTATTCTCTAAAGCTATTTTAAAAAACCTAAATGAAACCTACCTCTATAGAGGCTATGCGGTACCTGACCTCCTCTTTTAGGCAAAAAAACCTGGAGGAGGTCTAACCTTTTTCTTTGGTCATCAGTTTTGTGTAGCCTGGCAACCAGGAATCATGTTCTCCGAGTAGTTTCATTAAGAGTAGTAGAGCTTGGGCTTTTATTATAAATATTCTACAAAAATATCAATGGCTTCACAAAGAAGGTTAAATTTTTTTTTAGTTTCAATCACTAGGAAACAAAAACATTTACATCTAGTTCTAGTGCATAAATCAAATACTACAGTCCTACTCATGCTCTGTTCACACCTAGGCGTATTGAATATGCACGTTTGTCGCGTGTTTCTACCGCGATTCGCGGTAAAAAAACCGGGCGAAACACGCGCGTTTCCGAGGGCTACTTGGCTGTATCCCAATGGAAACGCGCAACAAAAACGCCGCAAAGAAGCTCATGTACCTTTTCAGGCGTAGGCCGTTTTGTAGCGCGTTCAGACGGGCTGAAATACGGCAAGGTGTGAACCATACCCATAGAAAACAATGGGATTTTCAAGTTTGAGCGTTTTGTAGAGCGTTCGTAGAGCGTTGAACGCGCTACAAAACGTACAGGTGTGAGCCAGGTCTCAGAAGCAGATATTTTGACATAAAACACATTAAAGGGTGGCAAAATGGTCAAAAACATCTTCTAAAACTATATCTAAAACCAATGCATTTTTAGTTTTGGATAGAGCAGGGGAGGATTAAATGTCCTGCAAGATTTTTTTTGTCTCCGTGTCTTATAAGAATTACTTCCCTTTATTGTTCCGAAGACATGACAGCAAACAAGAGGAAATCTGTCTAGAGTGAGTGGAAAATCCCTCTCAGACAGTTATCACCAAAACAGGTGTACCAGTTGGAAGATTTCCACTCTACTCCTGTTCTAGTGGCATCCAATCTAAGATTTCCTGTTTAGTGACGATAGTCATCGGGACAAACAGAGAGCGGAAATCTCCCCAAAGACAGTGTCTTACTTCTCTTTTGGGTCACTGGAGTACATTTACTAATGTCCACTATCTTCTGACAACTCACATACGCATTAAAGCTGGGAATATTGTCAGAGTCGACCCTGTTTGCCTGATTGACAGCTGGTTTTGCCTCTATTGAGCCAGTTGTGTCCAGCCCCTCCCTTGTCTAGTTTGAATGAGCGCTAGAGGAACAGAGAGAGGGGAATCCTTGCGGGGGCGGTGACTGACAGTCATTGCTCTCTGCAGGGAGGAGACCATGAGCTGAGCAATCAGTGGTTCTCGGTTTATATAGCCGGCATGTGACAGCTGCCGTGTTCCACACCAGCTCTAAGTATTGGGAAGAGTACATTCCACACCAGCTCTAAATATTGGGATGAGTACATTCCACACCAGCTCTAAGTATTGGGAAGAGTACATTCTCCCAATATGTCTCCTTTAAGTAAAATCCGACAGGGGTTTTTAACACTTTCCCACTCTACTGAAAAAAAAGTTTGGGCTTTAGATATACTTACATTGTAAGCAAACCCTAAGAATAAATGTCTCCTATTGGCTACCATTAGGTCTGTTAAATATATCCTTAAAATGTTTCATTATTTTTGTTAAATAAGTGCAAAAACTACCTGTTGATCCTGCCAGAAACCTTGTAAACTGATAACAATTTGTGCTCTTTGCTTCTGCTGAACTGAAATACCAAGCAGTGTTAACTGCACCACCCAGTTATCTGTGGCCCATAAAACACTTCCTCCCTATGTTATGGAAATAAGGAAAAGTGAGGTGTTCCATAGTACTTATATACTTGCTGTCCTAGGTTAACAACGCTGCTCTCCAAAGAGACAGTACAGTGAATTAGTGTTGTTACCCTAAGACAGGAAGTATATTACTGGCAGGATCACCAGATAAAAATAAAGGGAAAAAAGTATTTGCCACAATTTCATGATGAATTTGGGCTCTCCTCCCAATATGTTTGGTTTGGTTATCTGGAACTGCGATATACTCTAAGTTTGGCACTACGGGTATCACTGTCTCTATGTGCCCGCTTAAAGGAGAACTATGGGGTTAGGGCTTTTCCCCATAGTTTTCCTAAGGATAACGGGAGGACACAAGCTAGCCTCCTCCCTTCACCCTATGTTCAGTATACCGCGAGCTACAGCTCGCGGTATACTGAGACGCCAAAGCCGGGACAGATCCTGACATTACTGTCAAGATCCACCCAGCTGCGTGAGTGACAGCTGGCTCTGCCTAGCTAGAGGCAGAGCCAGCTGGGCCCACTCCCTCCCCTGTCCGTTCCGACAGTCAGCGCTGGAGGATCGGAGCGGGAGAATCCCTGCAGGGAGCTATGAGTGACAGTCACGGCTCTCTGCAGGGATAGATCGAGAAGTGAGCGAGCTACGGTATGTGTTCGCTCACTTCCCGATCTATTGAGCCGACCTGTGACAGTTTCACAGGTCACACAGGTCGGCTAGAACTATGAGTCTGAGTGATTTTCACTCGCCTCATAATTCTCCTTTAAGCAGCTGCTTAGAAAATCAGATGCTACTAAACTCTACATACTATTTTGCTCTTTGTGCCACCTCCAGTTCCGGTGTGAGAGAAAGTGTTTATATGAAATCTTTCAGCCATCTTGTTTTTCAACCATCTCGTCTTTCTCTTTTGACTTTCTCTTTCAAAGAAACAAAACTAAAGAAGTACTAGTTTCAGCTAAAACTAACTGGCCCCTTCTGAAGGTCGTTTTGTAGATAAGGTTAAGGTGCATGCACAGTCAGAATTATGATAATTACAAAGCATATACAGTAGTGTGCTAGTAATAAACTAGGACTTGCTAATCCTGATAACGATTGTGTGTGTCAGTTTGAATTCCTTGTGTGATCACGCTAAAAAAGGCAACATTTTATACAACAAACAACCTGTCGAGGGCACCAGATATCTATAGCCAGGAAGAGATGGCCTGCCCCTTTGCTCCAGCTAACAGACAATGATTAGTAAAACCTTTAACAGCTCTGTCTTATCCTCAAGAGACAAGGTAATCCAGCTGGAACTAATTCATCGGGTACACTATACCCCTGTCAGACTTCTTTGGCTAGGCTTGAGCTCTTACTCAGTATGCTTCCGAGGTTGTGGCGAAGAGGTGTATTGCCTTTGGAACTGTCAGTTTGTTAATCTTTTCTGGTTTGACGTTAATAATTGTATGTCCACAGCACTGGGATTGCCTTTTATCATTAGTGATGAGCCGAACAGGTCCGAGTTTGGTTCGAATTCAAACTTTAGAACATCCCAAAAGTTCAAATTCAAATTAGAACTCATTGCAAGTCTATGGGGGTTGAACGTTCAAAGACAATTGTCCCCTTTAAGACGGCTTACATGCAAATTATTAGCCATAAAAGGTGTATGGGGGATCCAGGTACTGCCCTGGGGGACAGGATTTAATGAAACACAGTTTTTAAAGGAGCAGTGGTTTTAACATCAGTTAAAGGGTAACAATAAAAATGAAAAATTCCTTTAACCCCTTCATGACTGAGGCCCTTTTTTCAATTTTTGCACCCATGTTATATTCCACATTTGGAGGGGCAACGGAGCCCGGGAAACACGGCGGGGGTGTCCGGTGGGGGGGATGGGCGGCCCCTTCTTCGGGACGCAGAAGCGATCTGGCGACAGGTAAGTCGCCAGGATCGCTTCTGTTGTAAAGCCGACAGTCGGCTCTACAAGTTTGAACAGAGTCCCGGCGGCAAAAGTCGCCGGGAGTCTGTTTAAACAGCCCCGATGCTGGCGACGTACACTGTACGTCGTCAGTCACGAAGGGGTTAAATATCATGCCTGGGGGGTCCCCTTAACCTGCCTCCAAAGTGGCAAATCTGTACAATGTATAGAACCTGCTGCAGCAACACTGACATTTCTAAAGAATAATCTGTAATCTGAAAGCTAATTACTGTTGCCAATACATAAAATGTGAATTCTGGTGCATTAAACATCTGAAGCTGAATGAAACAATTTGTAGGTTTTGTACCTCTTTCCGAGCCCGGGCACTGCCGACTGTGTCTATGGTTTTGGCTGCTCTCAGTGTCAGCAATCTAGCTTGCTCAATAGCAATGCGGCTTTCGGCTATCCAGTGTGCGACCACTTCCTGAGTAAAGAAAAATAAAGAGACCACAAATGTTTATATGGATGCATGGTTATCCTGTGATGATAGGGCAGAAGAACAATAAATTGTTCCTAGCAGGAAATTGAACACCTCTGAGTCGTCTGTTTAGCTTCCCTTATCACATTGTGACATCTGTTTATACTAGGGGATCCTAAATAAAGTTTTATTAAAAATAGTGCAGTTCCCACTGATATCAAACGTGTGTCCGGGAAGAGTCAGTTCATTTTAAGGCTTAGTAATGTTCTTTTTACATTCTAAGGCTCAAAAAAGGAACAAGCAACAGACGTTTCTGTAAATACACCCAAAGCACAAACTATTATCAGTAACTGCATTATTGTGTGCTTGGTAACACAAGCAAGAATAGATAAGCGAAACTAAGCTTTTGTACTTCCAACCTATATTTTAAAATCCTGTTTGCTGCCTCCATCCTAGACTACTACTAAGCTGAACCGAAACATAAGCTTATAAAAGAAAAAAGTGAGATAACAGACTTCTATTTACTGAAGCCAGAAAGTAAAAACTGGTTTCATATTGGTTGCTATTGGTTACTGCGTTTAGCATTCTTTTTACTGCTTTTATTATTATAAAATTAGAATGGACACTCATTAACTGTTTAAAGTAAATAGATTTAAGTTATATACACTGCAAATGCTGTATGATTTGAAAGAGAAGAGTCTCTGCAAAACACTTTGGGCATCGATAAGTGTGAAGTCTACCAAGCTACATAGTGCAATTGCCTTATTTTAATTGTAAGTGCATTTTAATAGTTTTAAATACATTTATTCTGACATACTACGCTATGGGAAGCCTTTTTTTCTCTCTCTGAGCACAGGAGAAGGTGGAAGATGGAGGAATAGTGTTACACGGTTTTGGAAAGATAAGCCAGAGTTGGGAGTTGTTCATCTGAAATATGGTGAGCAATAGGAGTCGGTGAGTGCGGCCAGATCTTATCTTTGAGCATGGTGGAGACTGAGGAGCACTGATTCACTAATTGTTTATGCATTCACGGACATGGTGTTGATTATAAAAGTTGGAAGATATATCATCACATATTTCAAGGACTTTATTGTATCAAGAAGTAATGGATTTCACACATGGTTATGTAGATCGAGAGGGAGTTGTACATCACTTGTGAGATTTAACACAGGATTTTCTATATGTACACATTTTATGAGATGTACTAGCACATTTTTTTTCTATGTTTATTATGGTTTATAGTGTCTAGACCATTAGACCAAGAGTTTTTTCTTACTATCATCAGCACAGGCATTGTGCAACACAGTTGTTGTGTATGACACAAAATTGTTTATCACTTTGTGACAATTTCACATTTTCATACTATTTTTCTCACATTTTAGGAATGTTTTGAGTTTGAAGCACAGTGCTATTTTCTTTTTTCTTAAGCTACATAGTGTGACTAGTTATATCTAACAGATCTCATGTATTGTCAAGGATTGGTGACTTCCATGCAATGTGAGTTCCCACACAACACCCTATATTTTACAATGACTTTGCCATACTAAAGGAGTACCTGGAACACTGGGTTGTAGCAAATTAGATAGTCAAGAATGGTCATTTAGTATGCCAATATAGTGGGGCACTGCCAAACAAGAGGCCAGAAGTCAGCATCTTATTTAAAGTATCTTTTAAATTCTGCTGAGAAATATATATCTAATTTTAAACAATCTAGATATCCTTACAGAAGTCAAATCCACTTGGCCGATGATATAGAGATACTAAAAGATGTAAATCACACACATTAGCCCAATTACCTTTATTTGAAAAAAAGTTTTAATATATAATAGGTTTTATTTTCTAATGTTGGCTGTATTAAAGCCGAACTCCAGGAATTATCTTTTATTGATACTTACACTGGTTCAGCTTGGCTCAATGTAAGTATCCATATCTGGAGGGCCGCTGGGGATGCTGAAAATCACAGCAGTAGTGCAAGCTACGTACACTGATAGCCCTGATGTTCCATGTGTGACTCCAGTGACTTCCCTTCTGCACACTGAACACAGGGAGCCGCATGCTCTGCACCACCACCATTCAGAGAATGCCTTGTATTTTTTCAATGAATAAAAGGTGTTCCCTGATTGGACAAGGTGGAGAGGAGCCAATTTGTAAACCCCTTGTATTCAATGAAAAATAGTGTTCTCTAAATGGCAGCGGTGCAGAACGTATGACTCCCTATACGCAGATGTGCAGAGGGGACATCCCTGAGGGGACATCACTGGCGCCACACCCGAAACAGACCAACAATCATTGTATTGTGAAGCGTTGACTACTACTGCGATTTTAAAAATCCCCAGAGACCCTCCGTAGATCAGATATGGATACTTACCGTACATTGAGCCAAGTATCTATTAAAAAAAAACATTCCTGGAGTTCAGCTTTAAATGGGTATACAATGCAGATATGAATCTTTGGGGGCTTTGGGGCCACTAGACCCCAGGAAGACAGTTGGTAGAACAAGGTGCATCCATATTACTAAATGGAGAGATTCAGAGCATGTCTGATGAACAGATAACTATAAACTGCAGTTCTGGGGAGATTATGATTAATCTTAAGACGACTAAACGATCATTCAGTACTAACATGTATACTTTTCCACCACTTCTTGTGCTATATGTATGCAGCAACAGTTGAGGTACACATATTAGCTATCATACCCTAATACATTATAATTGTTTAGCTGAGGTCAGCACACAGACAGCTAAGACGTGTATGGCAAAAAAATATATATATTTCTAGTTTGGGATTTTCCAACTGAGACAGGAGATGTCCCAGTCTTCTCCTTTTGTGTGTTGGAAAAAGGAGATGATATCATAAAATGCACAATAACCTGTTTGGCAAATGCAGTAAACAGGATGTATTTATTGTGAAAGCTTGTACCAAGGAATTATATCCATTTTTCTTCAGAAGGAGTATTTATGGTACTTCAAGTAATGACACATACAAAGAACTGTCAGGCAACAATTACAACACATACTTACATGATGATACAGCTTTTTCCCAAAGGTCTGTCTCTGGGCAGCCCTGGCACACATCAGTTGAAGGGCGATCTCTGCAGCTCCAATGCACCTCATGCAGTGATGAATGCGACCAGGTCCAAGACGTCCCTGGGCAATCTCAAATCCCCTGCCCTCACCTGAGATTGGAAGACATGTACACATAAAATAACATGTAGTTGCAGTTAGCGTTACTCTCCCCATCCTCCTCCAAAGAGATACCAGCCCAGCACTCCAAACATTTAATCTGTGCAGGCTGAAGGGCAGACAACCCTCCATGATGATACTAGCCTGTATGCCCTGCAGCAATGTACTAGCACATCAAAAGGAGGCTCTCTCTCGCTGAAAATATAAGGCTTGTATTGAACGGCAGTTCCCTAGAAACAGTCATGCTCACTCTTACTTTTAGCAAAACAGTAAAGCAAATTGATAGCAGTTCACTTGATACAAATGTATTTAAAAAAAATTGCATGGCAAATGCAAAGGCATGTACGTTGCATGCTTGTACATTCATTTGGTGCGAATCAACTAGCTGATGTGATAATGGGGCAAAATCAAATGTTCATAGGTTGTTTTCTCTGCTGGTGGAATGTTCTTCAAATACTATGGGCAATAGTAAGAACAGGTTTATTCATAGAAACAGAGTGAATCAGGAACACATTGCATTATGACCCTAGATGGAGCTGAGGATCATAGGAAATTAATAAATTTTAGTAATGAGAGATACAGTGTAACAATTCTAGAGAAAGCTGATTGTTACTATGGGGATCCTACCTTGCTATTATTTTCTATAAATAGACCTCGATCTGTTATTACTAGGGATGCACCGATACCGGTGTTTCGGTATCGAGTATCGATATTTATATTTCAGTACTTGCTGATACCGAATACTGATACCAGTACTTCCGGTAACATGAAGCCGGCTTTCTGGACAATCAGGAAGCCAGGCAGCGTGTCATTACCTGCTGCCCGCCTTTTTGATTGCCCGGGAAGCCGGCAGCCTGCTGTTTGACCGGCTTAATGCTGATTGGCCAGGAAGCTGGCTTCCCAGCCAATCAGCACAGAGCCAACTTCCCGGCCAATCAGGAAGCCCGGAGGGGGGTCATTACCCATGGCCTGGCTTCCCGATTGGCTGGGAATCCGCCTCCACGCTGTTTAGCCGGCTCCATGCTGATTGTCTGGGAAGCCAGCTTCTTGGCCAATCAGCATGGAGCCGGCTTCCCGATTGGCCGGGAAGCCGGCTCGATGCTGATTGGCCAGGACGCCGCGTGTGAGTACCTGCGGCCCAGCTTCCTGATTGGCCAGGAAGCTGGCTCCATGTTCCTTCGCGGCATTGCCGGCCAGTGGAAATCTCCCTGTGACTGGAAGTTCCGGTATCGGGATAAGTATCGGAGCATTATCTAACCCAGTAACCAACATACATCAAAGTCCTTGATTCTCAGTATTCCTTTATCAGCCATATGCAATCCAATGTATACAGTTAAGTTAAAACAACTAGATCAATGATAGTCACCTATAGCCAAGAGTAAACATCATCATGTGATTGTGTTGCAATACCAAGGTCAAATTTAAGAAAAAGGCCTATAGTCCGCAAAATCCACAGTGGTGGAGTGCCAGAGCCAGGTCCCAGCTGCAACCGCTGCAACCCTGGTAGTTCTCATGAACATGCCAAGTATCTGCACTGGTACTCGAAAAGTATCTGTGCATCCCTAATATATATATATATATACATACACACACACAGAGCGAATATCAGCAAACTATTTTTTTATTTACCTCGACTATTAGTCCCTTGGCAGCCCCACAATGACAAATAAGCTTGGGAAACCACTTGCAAGTAATATAATGAAATATATGAGCGTAAACTGCTTCATATATTAACATATTAACAAATGACACATACCAATGTTATTCTATTTAGAGGCCTTTTCATGTCACTTTTGCTACAAATATAACACCGTCAGGGCTAAGAGAATCATAAACAAATTGTTCAATAGAATGGTTTGACCCCACCAGCTGTGTCAGCGTACCCATAACATAGCTTCATGATTGACGAAGATTGGAGTACAGGTTGATGACTTGGGAACACTGTGACCAGATAACGAGAATGCAGCATACATAACATCCAGCCACAGTGTGGCAATGACAATATAAATCTGCAGGATATGTTCCTAAAATATTTACGAATACTGTGCTAAAAAGCAATACATGAGATTTAATGGATAATAGTCCTATTTATCAATTTTTGTCCCTAAAGTGGAGCTGAATCTGTCACAGGTCGGCTCTATTGATTGGGAAGTCAGCGAACACATATCACCGATCGCTGTCTTGACGATCCTCTCAGTGCTAGTCACCCCTCCCCGCAGGAATTCCCCTCTCCGTTTTTCCGGGGTTGACTGGAGGAACGGATGGGGTTGGGCACAGCTGGCTCTGCTTCTAGAGAGGCAGAGCCAGCTGTCAATCAGCCAGGGGGGGGGATCTCGATAGTATTGTCGGGATCCGTCCCGGCTGCGGCTCGGCGCTCACAGCATATAGCGGGCACCAGCTCGCTATATGCTGAGTTTTGGGTCACCGGAGGACATTAGTTCATGTCCTCCTGTGACCCTGGGGAGAACTGTGGCATCAAAAAGTTGCCCAATAGTTCTCCTTTAAAAAGTTTGCGCTTTAGTTTGAATTTAATTGCAACAGTCACATTTTAATGTAAATATTACAGCGTACAACCTAGAAGATTACGCTTGGCAAAAAATCTTTGGATGCATGGCCATAAAGGGTTTTTAGTACAGGTATGATAATATGAGTAATACAGTCTAGTTTTAAATATGAAATTGTTTGCACTTCTGCTGTCCCTTTTCGATCCTGATATATAAGTAATGCCAGAAATATTATCTATAGGCTGATTAGCTCTATACAATTATATCAATACATAGGTGAACAAAGGAGTTCCTTCTCTTACTGTGCTTTTCCAGTAAACCGATAGGAGGAGTGGCAACTCAGCGTTAAGACTGAAAGAACCTGGGTGTAACCATGCAAATAAATCAGTTCATTTAGAGGAAAACAAAACTTTAGAACAAAAGGAAACAAATTTAATTCCGACAGGGTGTGAGGTAGGAAATTAGACTTGTGCACTATAATTACACATACAAACAAGAAGTCAGAGAGGCATAAACAAGACACTTGTGTATAAGCAGATGACATTTGGAAAGGAAACACCGTTCTAAAAATTCACAATATGTGGGTAGATCTAGAGAAAAACTGTTATAGGAAAACTGGTGGGTTTGTTAAAAATATTTGAATTCACTCTTTTTTTTTATCTACAGAAATGCCTGAAATGTATTTTAAAGTCACACTCCAGCCTCACCGGTTTCTATTCCATCTGCTTTTGCCTCTGTTGCTTGGTGGAAAACTGTGCAGCTCATTCATTTTCTCCCCCGCCCCACCTGCCTGTAAGTAAAGGGTACTACTTGGTCCGTGATGCTTGGCCTCCCACTCCTCACGTGGCAATGACTGCATCCTCTGTTGTGCAGACAACTTTATAGAACCATCTGGATAAGAAAGCGTTACTCCTACCAGCCTATGTCTTATAGTGATGTATGAGCCGCCAGGAGAAACCACAAAAAACAGGGAAAAAGTCCAGCGCTCTCAGATTAGAAGATGTGGGTGAATTAGTGGGTTAAATGGAGTTGGAGTGCAGCTCTGACACAAACAGGCGGAGAATACTTATGCAAAAACTACAAGATAAAGGAGAGACGAGAGCGCATACACATGACCAATACAAAGGACTACTTACATGCTGGTGGTGTTGCTGGCTATAGAAAGATTAGCCGTCTGGGATGGCGTCGATGTCCGCACAAGATGTGGTATGTAAGTGGGCAAGAGAACGTTTGCCCAAGAAGGGTCGTGAGTCTGATTGGCGGGGAGGACTAGGTGCGGTGCGGTGTCGGCACCGTGTCACATCTGAGTGACTACTGTTCACAGGGGATTGATCAGGGTTGGAGGAGCGGATCGGTAGTCAAGTGTCTGTGCCCGCCCAAAATATGGTGGGCAAGAAATTGTGTACCCAAGGGTGACCTCAGTACCACCTAGTGGCGTGGAGGACCGTTTGGCCTCAGTACCGCACCTAGTCCTCCCCGCCACTCAGACTCACGACCCTTCTTGGGCAAACGCTCTCTTGCCAACTTACATACCACATCTTGTGCGGACATCGATGCCATCCCAGACTGCTCCTCCTTCTACAGCCAGCAACACATCACAGCCCGCTCTAGATACCATCCACCCATCCTCCGTTGGGACCACAAGACCCTCAGACCCCACCACCATGTAAGTAGTCCTTTGCACTGTTCATGCGTATACAATCTCGTCTCTCCTTTATCTTGCAGGAGAAACCACAGCATGCGATGGTAGGAGAAGATATTCGACACAGTCAGGTTTGAAGATATGGGCCACCAGAAAGGTAACTATACACGCTATTCTTTTGCAGCTCATTATTCTTGTACAAGTGACCCTGTGATATCTTCAGGTTTACAATTGTTTCAGTACGGTACTGATTTTGTGCTTTTTAATTTCGGTAAGGAACTATTGGTGTCTCTGAAGATATTTTTATGGTTGCATCGGTCTGTAATTAGAGTATTTTATGGGTACAAGGACAACATAAAATGTGTGCATTGTGCAATGTGAGTAGGCTCAGACTTTATTTAGTCATGCCCAATATGTGCTTTGTAGCCACACCCGATTTTCAACACAGCACAATTTCCGCTGCACCACACTTCGCTGTACTTTTTGAATTAAATCCCGATTGCCCCTTCTTTGTCTTCATTATTGAAAACAAAACAAACAAAAAAAACGAAGAGCAAAAATGCAAACTTACTATGCAGGTGCTTCCTCTGTACCTCTTACCAGAAAACATAAGATTTCAGTGAATCACAGCAACGAGATAATGGGTCGGCCTGACACATGTGCCATAATGATGACGGAACTGCTTTTATCGTCTACATGTATATATTTATAGCAGGCCTCAAAATTTCCACTCGCCCCCTCGCAATTGGCGAGCGAAAATTGCGTGGGGGCGAGTGGAATGTCATCGAGGAGGTGTGCCGGCGGTGGGACCAGAGACGGGACACTACCGCCGCTACGATTGCTCGCTTCTGTTCTCTCTTCTCCTCGGTCGCTGCAGCTACAGAGCGGCCAAAGGAGAAGAGAGAACAGAACTGTAATGTATAATGACTGATGTAGGCGTTGACAGCTCAGGGCAGCCAGTGCTTTCAGACCCCGTGACACTGCCCGAGAAAGGAAGGGTGACGTCACAGAGAAAGGCGGTCCGCAATGGATAGAATGCGCAAGGACAGTGTTGCTGAGCTAGGTACGTCACTTCCTGGATATGGGACGCGTTGTTGTGACCTCACTTCCTGGAGACAAGACGCGTCGCCATAAAGACTACCTCTGTACTGTGCGTCACACCGCTGACCTGGCGGAGTTAAGGCCGGGGCAGGGTAGGGGTTAGGTGGGGCAACTGGTGGCGAGTAACTTTTAAGGCCTGGCTAGTAGCTCAGGACTTGAAATTTTGAGCCCTGTTTATAATATAAGTAATATATGCAGCTTTACAGCTAATTATAATAGAGCAACTCTTTAAAAGGTTCCTATAACTGATGCACCATTTCAGGTTAATCAGATATATGAACAGTGTACAGGACTCATTAAGAAAGACTACTGCAAAAGAACAATAGAACCTTAACAACTAGGTGATGCCTGTACCGGAACAAAAAGACAACAGGAAAACAGCACCTCAGTTGTTTCTTTACTCCAGATTTTATTGCTCAGCCTGGTGTTTAGTATAGCTGCATAATATTTTCCACATTCAGCTTTCTATGTGTGTATATTTGAGAGCTACTACATAGCGTAAGCAGCCAAAAATATTACTGAGAGGTTACAGGTTTGGGCATGCTTGACAGATATGCTCATGCTATGCAACTATGAGTCATTCAGGGAAAACAGCAAATGAAACCTAAAGGGAGCATGCAGCGGTTGTATACATTCTTTCTTTACTGTATTTATTGTGGTCAGGATTAAAAAATAACATTTATATATGAAATAAACATTTTTACTTTTGTCCTTTACATATAACATGCCACATATTAATATTGTCACTTTATTTTACATGTCTTCCAAAGACTGCTTTGTAGTTTGTTGTAAAAGAGCATTTAGAGAATTCAATAGGTTAAAGGAGAACTATGGGGTCAGTGCTTTTGACCCTTAGTTCTCCTAAGGGTCACGGGAGGACACAAACTAGCGTCCTCCCGTGACCCAAAGCCCAGTATAACGCGAGCTATAGCTCGCGGTATACTGAGACCGCTGCAGCCGGGACGGATCCAGACATCACTGTCGAGATCCACCCAGCTGCGTGATTGACAGCGGACTCTGCCTATTTAGAGGCAGAGCCAGCTGTACCCACCCCCTCCCCCGTCCGTTCCGCCAGTCAGCGCTGGAGGATCGGAGCTGGGAATCCCTGCAGGGAGCCGTGAGTGACAGTCACGGCTCTCTGCAGGGACATGATCGAGAAGTGAGCGAGCGACTGTATGTGTTCGCTCACTTTCCGATCTATTGAGCCAACGTGCGACAGTTTCATTGTCACAAGTCGGCTAGAACTATGAGGATGAGTGAAATCACTCACCTCATAGTTCTCCTTTAATGTTTTATGCCACTGATTCAACGCTCATTCCAAAATTTTAAACAGACCAAGACAGCCAGGAGATACAGAGAACAGTGCTTCTCAGCAATGTCTTTAGATAACCCATAGTGCTTGGGGAATTCTTTGTCAAGAAATTACATAAAACATTGGTTTACAAACAAAATTAAAGTGCATCTATAGCCACAACTGTTTTAAGTTTTGGACAGGATAGGCTGTCCTATTTCTATTGCTGTCTGTGTGCTCGCTGGGAATATTCACCCGTTTTCTGGTGACCATTGCCTCCTGGATATTAAATGATGGATATTTACACTTTGCTATTAGAACACAAAGTGACAAGGGGAACACTTGTTCCAGTGGCAACTGTGTAAGAATATATCTCCTTTCTCTTTGGATTTTCTCTTACTTCCTGTTGTGCCTTTAGCACAAGAAATTAAGAGAAATAATCCCAATAGGACATATAAACATAACAATATTGGAGTCTTTACCCTCCCCTACTATACCCAAAACTAAAAAGTCCCAAATCTCTTGTCTTGACTATTGTAACTCCCATCTCATTGGCTTACCTTTACACAGGCTATCCTCCCTTCAGTCTATCATGATTGCTGCTGCTAGATTCAGCCACTTAACTAACCGCTCAGTGTCTGCAACCCCCCCTCTCTGTCAGCCCTCCACTGGCTTCCAATTGCCCAAAGGATAAAATTCAAAATATTGACAACCACTTACAAAGCTATCCACAACTATACCCCTGGCTATATCTCCAACCTCATTTCAAAGTATTACCCTAACCGTCCCCTCCCAAGACCTCCTGTTCTCTAGCTGCGTCGCCATTTGCTCCCATGCTCACCTCCAGGACTTCTCTAGAGTCTCTCCCATCCTTTGGAACGTCTTATCTCAGCCTGTCCATCTATCTCCTACTCTGTCTGTCTGTAGGCGATCCCTAAGGCCCCATTCACACTGAGCGATTTATCGAGCGATTTTTGCAGCGATATTGCTCATATTTCCACGCGATATCGCTCTATGTAGCTTCTCCAATCCATTTCAATGGAGCTGTTCACATCTCGTCGCTCATTATCGCTTGTAGCTCCTACATGACCCTTTTTTCAAACGATTTTGCTCCTGATTGCATACAGCCCAATAGGAAAAAGTCGTGACACGTCACTCAATATCGCTCATATAAAATCGCGCGATTTTCATGTCGCTCAGTGTGAATGGGGCCAATAGACTCATCTCTTCAGGGAAGCCTATCTCGCCTCAAACTAACCACCGAACTATCACTTTCTTAATCAATTCACCCCCACACAGCTACCTCCTCGTGTATTACTTGCCCCTCCCATTTAGATGGTAAGCTCTCACTGGCAGGGCCCTCCTTACCATCTTGTCTTGACTTGTATTGTGACTTTAATGTTCTCCTTATATTGTAAAGCTCTGCGCAAACTGTTGGCACTATATAAATCATGTATTATAATAATAATAATAAAAAATATGGTTTCCTTTTAAAGAATAAGTGCACTTTCAGAAAATGTACAATGATTATCCAGTGTTCCTAATCTGGTTCCCTTTAATAATATAGAGAAGAAAAGAAAGTTGTATAAAAAATGTAATCAGAAAAGGTACTGTGTATAATTAGGCTTTTTCAAATTACTGTCAAATTTGTCATAAAAGGGCATTTGTGGCGCTATTGAAGTCATGTACTAATGAGCAGTGACTGGTTATACTGACTTCTCCATTCCTAGGGAGTCCAGAAAATGGGCGACCAGTGCGTGCAACTTTACAGAGAGAGTGACACACACCCAGAATATAATGCAGGTTTAACAGCTATAGATCATGCTTCCACTGGTGATTTAACCTTGAATAAGAAGGACTGTATCTATAGTTTTCAAGTTTGTTTATCCCACTGAATAAAGTTCATCCAGCTTAAAGTTAGGTGCTGACCCTGCTGAATTACATTTGATAAAGTGTAGCATTGCTTGTGTGAGTGGACTAAATGTAAAGAGCTGACCTGGATAAATCTTGTTACAAATGACATAGCAGCTAACATCTAACGCCCAACCTTTTTTTTTTTTTTAAACAAAAGTCTATGGAGGTAGTTTATTTAGATTTGGTCTTTAATTGTGTTTGTTTTCTATGATTTCTTTTTTAATACTTTTGCAAAAAATACAAAATACAATGGGAACTATTTCTTTCTTTTGTTATGTTCTTGTTTGATACGGTTCTGTGTTGGTTTATATTTCATATGTAGAATATTGTTCAAAGGCTTTTACTCTATTATAAATTTACTGTCATATTTGTTACAGTGTAACCCAGACTGAAATCATTAAAATGCCAACACTTTGGAGCCTCGCCCTTGTTTCCTCTTGTCTGGAAAGGGGAAATTTTCTGAATTGTTTATACAGCTTTTAACATCAGTTTCTCTAGACTCAAAGTAAAGACATGGAATGGGCCTTTGCTAATCTGATAGCATAAATTACTGGTAAACATTAGGTTACCAGTCATTTTATAAAGTTTATAAAATCTTTTATAAAGTTTTATAAAAGATGAACACCATTTCACTAAGTGCAGTTTGCTGATTACACTGAATAGGAAAGTCACAGTAATGAAACAGACTCTCACTGACTGAAGTGACCGTTATATGCAGAGTGGTTCTCACTTACCTAGGATTAGGTTAGAGGCCGGGACCCGCACATTATTAAAGTGTACTTCTAAATGTCCTCCATGATGAGTATCTGAAAGCATAAATCAGTGTTTATTATTAAAGACAGTTAATTTAAAAGAAAACCCTGAAGAGACTATGTCACCAGATCACTAATTTCAACAAAAACCTTCCTATAAGATTAAATTTGCATCCCATGTTAGTTATGCATACATCTAAAAGGCCTAGGACTTCTGCTGGGTGCCTCAATGCTGGATGTGATGCCAACATTCCCTGCAGAATCAGAGTGGTCTTAACCAGACACTCTGTGAAAGCGGTTGGCATACCAGCTGTTGTGGAATTAAAAGTTCACAAGGCATGGCAAGACTCTTAATGCCACAGCCATGACTCCCAGAGGCATGGTGAAATTTGTGGTTTCAGCACAGCTGGAGTGCCAAGTTTTCCTACCCCTGCTCTATAGTATTCCCCTTCACTCCTCTTCTGGCAGCTACATAAAATGTAGGGAGGTGAAGGGAGTGGTGGAGACATTGGGTCAGCACACAGAGTAATTACATGCTCCCAGAAGAAGAGGGCTATGATGTGTAAGGAGGGAGGGGGCTGTGCCAGGAAATTTACTTTCCCGGAGTAGTCAAATTGATTAGCAAATTCAAACCCACATTGCAAGTAAATAAAAACCATGTATAGAAAAGACAAACACTGCAAGTAAGCATTTAAAATGTGTTTTTTTTCTATGATTTTATCTGAAATTTGTACAGTTGGTAACAGAGTCTCTTAATTAAAAAAGACCTATTTTATCTTTGACTAAATTAAAAGAAGCAATGGCCTTACAGCACAGGTTTAAATACTTTGGGGCGGGATTTAATCAAGCCTTAAGACTTTTCTGGCAGTATGGACCTTTAAAAGCTCCTGCACCAAAATTTAAAAAAAAAGCCCTGTTCCCAGTTTCATTAGCTATTCCCGGCACTTTTGGCAGATTCAAGTATTTCTTCATACTGCAACTTCCAGAATCTGTTGCTATGGCTGCGGCAGATTTAAAAAGAATTACTGCTAGTTTACAGATTAGAAAACTGATCTCAGATCTGGCATACAAATGCTCAGAGTGTGTACTGAAAGTTGGCATGACTCTGACAGCTTCTCATTCATTGGTTGCTGAGCGTTGCAGCCAGCGTCCTAGAAACTTGATGTCATGGCATCATGATGTCAGTCATACAAATGCATACAATTCAGTAATGATATTAATTAGAGGTGCACCGAAATGGAAATTTTAAAACCGAAATAAAAAAAAATTGTCAGGCCAAAACCGATACTGAAAATGTTTTTTATTTTAATTTTTTTAAAATTTTTAAATATTTTAAAAAATTTTTTATAAACTTAATTTTGTTATATTTATTTTTAATTTTGTTTTTCTAAACAGACCCCTGATATTTCCCTTAAAAAATAGAAAAAGAGATAGAGGATTTTGTGTCCTCAATCTCTTTTTCAGTATCCCCTGTTACAAATCAACAGGAATCCTCTATGAGTGTTCCTGTTCATTAAGGACAGAGTATTTTTTACTATAACTACAATCATGAATGAACAGGAGGTGATGTAGATCACTTCCCATTCATTCATAATTGAGGATATAGTCAACATACCATGTCCTCAATTATCTACAAACACTCAGCGATCACTGAGTGTTGGCACTCACTCTCCTCTCTGACACGCTGTCACAGGAGGCTGATCGAGCGGTCCTGTGACAGCGCGGCCTGTCTCTGCCCACACACCTATCTGCCGGACTGTGATAGGAGGCTGAGCGGTGTGGGAGGAGACGCCGGCCGCTCACAGCGCTCTCCTCCCGCAGCGCTCGGCCGGCTATCACAGTTTCTCTCCTCTCCGCTGGGACACAGAACAGAGCCCAGCGGGGAGGAAAGAAACCAGGGATGCGATGCTGTATCGGCAGGAAATTGGCACTTTCGGCATTGTGCCAAAAGTGCCATTTTCGGCCGATATGTTCCGGCGGACGATATATCGGTGCATCCCTAATATTAATTTCACTTCACAACATAATACAAAAGTTCTAAGCTAGAGCTTGATGTATTAAACATTGAATGGGAACTTTATATATCATGCCAATGAAGCATTTACCTTCATATCCAAACACTTTCAGAGCTCTCACATGATCAACACCTTTGGTGTCCATGGGTACAATGATCATACTATGTTGTTTGTATCTGGGGATTAAAAAAAACTCTATTATATTTGGAACAGATGCAAATTATCCTGATATTTAGTCACATTAAATGAAGTAATAGATTTGTTAACATTTGCTGAACTACACACAAAACTCTTTCTAAATTCTGGACAACTTAGAAAAGAGTTTGGTCCGGTATTATTTGCGGTCTCTGACCCTAGTAGGAAGATTTTCCCTCACTTTCTGCCCTGATATATCTACTCAGTGGGGCCGTAGACTGTGATAAAACACTTTTCTCATTTTCTCAAAGACTTTGACTTGACTATTACCAAGTCTATGCAAAACTGAAAACGTTTTGGCTAGATTTGGGCTTTATATGATTTTCAATCATTTATTTGATGTAGAAAGTGGCTACTTAATAAAAAAATAACATATTTCAATATGATAACAATTAGGGATGCACAGATACTTTTTGAGTACCAGTGCAGATACTTGGCATTTTCATGAGAACTACCAGGGTTGCAGCGGTTGCAGCTGGGATCTAGCTCCGGCACTCCACCACTGTCCTGAAATCATTAGTCTGTATTGTTTTAGAAAAACTGTCACTTGACAATAAACAAAAATGTATCAGTACTCGTACTTGTAAGTACTCGGCAAGTACCAGTACTCGTAAAACTGGTATCTGTGCATCCCTTTATTTATATTTATAAAAACAAAATCGTACATTAAAACAGAGATGTAGAAATCCCAGGAGCTCCGTGTGCTCCTTACAAATGACAGCTGCCTCCTAACTTTTGCATTTTTCTCTAGTGTAGTCTTGGAGCTCAAAAGTATCGGTACATGTACTCGTACTTGTACTGAGTATTGTACTTGGTATCTGTGCAACCCTAATAACAATAATACTCTGTACATCTATCTTGGTGAAAATTGAAACTGTGATTATAAAGAATATTTTAAGTTTTTTAGTTAACACAATACAGTTTTGTTCAGGTAAAAAGGTTAAAAGAACGGTAAGAAACAATGCTCAGTAACTGCAAGCCATATTAATATGGGCTGTTAGTTGCTTATTATAGGCCATACAACCCAATTAACATAAGTAATTTGTCACAGTGGAACATGCAACAAATCAAACTTCTTAATTTCAGGACAATTATAAAATATATAGAGCATATTTATTAAAAATCAATAAGAGTTATAACCCTGATTTGCAGTCATGTATTTATCTGTTCTGCTAGTTGCTGCATCAAAAGAGATGTTTGATGCCTACTTAATGAATGTTATTACAGGGTTGTAAAACTAGGTCTATTTTTCTGTATTTTGAGCTTAGTGTTCTCTCATAATAATAGGTCTGCCAATCGTATCCCAAATGTGTTTGATTTCCTAACGTTTGTCTTGTGATAGGTGTATGATTAAAGCTTGCCATACATTGTTAGTCTTTTCTAGGGGCTTCACCAAGATTCCACCAGTGTATGGCCAACTGTGGAAATATTGCGGTTGATTTACTAATGCAAATAGGCTGCTCAGTTTGCAAGGGATTTTCCCTTAGCTTAGTGAATGTGGAGAAGGTTTACTGAGCACGGAATATCCAATCACGTGCACGGAAAAAGGACAACATTTTTTTTTTTGCATGAACATAATTAAATGAAAGTCAGAAGAACTTCACCTAATTTACTAAACCTTTTTATAGGTGTTTTGGGTGTCAGAGGTATCATGTCATCGCTAAGTATCCTTTAAAAAGGATCTGAATTTGGCTAATCTCATTCATAAAGTCGGTTAATAAACATACCTGGAAGAAGAAGCATTTGTTGTTTTGCCCATTACAATTGCCACTTTACAATTGGGATTTCCAGCACCTGCAAAATTGTGAAAATTGATGGTTGAAAATATAACCAAAGACATCAAGGGTCTGTGTTATAAGAATATACAAATCTGTAATTAAAAAGGTCTCAGGCCAACAATATAAGATATTTTGCATCTGCTAGTGATTCACAGAAGCAGTGCTACCCAGCTACAATAATGTGCAACAACACACAGAGAAATGGGGTTTCTTTGAGAGGTATAACACCAACACCTGACTTGTTCGATATAAAAACGATATTTATTTTACATATAATAAAACACATGTATACTTTCATGAAATAGAATCTTGGTTCAATCTCATCCTAAATACATTAAAACAGTTGCATCCTAATTCCAAATAATTATTGTTCATACGTATTCATTTGGGAAATCCATATATCCAGTCCCTACGCGTTTCGCATATTGCTTCCTCAGGGGAGCATGGATCTGTCTAATAGGAAATTTTGAGTTTTAGATTAGTTCATCTAGGTAGCGCAACATGTAAATCCATTTTGAAGTCTAAACACCGAAGAAAACCGTGCTCATGGCAGCTCCGCCGGACAGAGGGACACCCATCACCAACATCACCCCCATAACCCAAACACCTCTCACTTACCACCCAATGGAATTCCCGGATGCGAATAGGATTCCCCGGATCAGGTGTGGACAGGGATCGGAATCCCGACGTCACCACTCCGTCCAGGGGTCAATTTGGGGGCCCTGGGGCCACAAGAGAGGGTGCTTGCGGAACGAACAGTTTGTGGAGAGCCACCTGTGCTGAGGAATTAGTTGGGCTATTATATTTCTCTGTAGGATACCATACCTCCTATCGTGTATGTTTATATTCACATATATGTATTTATGTGTATCCCTACTTGTAAGTACTATGTGGATAATTAATCCAAGATAACCTTTTTTATGTTCTCCCGTCTGACCGTGTGTCTTCCATGTTATTTAACCCTTTGTGAGTCCAGTGCAATGTTTTAGTGGTCCCGTGTCAAAATGTTCGGACTTAAGTCATTGTAGTAAACAACCCTTGTGAACATAAGAGTATGTGCCACAAAAATATATAAAGCAAAATAAAAAATGAAAAATTACAGTGATTATATTGTGTTTGAAAATTCCTGAAGAAAAGGGAGGGGTAATGTACCCCCTCCAATATTCCATCCATATCTATTTGTGTGTATTGGTGTGAGCTTTTTTATATATATAAAAGAAAAGAGATATCTAATAATTGCTCCCCAATAAAGTGCCCATCGTTGTGTGTATTGGTGTGAGCTTTTTTATATATATAAAAGAAAAGAGATATCTAATAATTGCTCCCCAATAAAGTGCCCATCGTGTGCCAATAAAGTGCCACATAGTGTGTAGGGGGAGGGTAATAGAATTATGGGGATATAAACGATGGGCACTTTATTGGGGAGCAATTATTAGATATCGCTTTTCTTTTATATATATATAAAAAAAGCTGGTTTCACAAAAAAATGAAGAATTAAACAAACATGTCACTGCGAAGTGGATATATGTTTTGCCCACTTAAGAGTAATTCCTACTTAACTCACCATTATGATTACTTGTGACATCACACACTCACACCAATACACATAAATAGATATGGATGGAATATTGGAGGGGGTACCCCTCCCTTTTCTTCAGGAATTTTCAAACACAATATAATCACTGTAATTTTTCATTTTTTGTTTTGCTTTATATATTTTTGTGGCACATACTCTTATGTTCACAAGGGTTGTTTACTACAATGACTTAAGTCCGAACATTTTGACACAGGACCACTAAAACATAGCACTGGACTCACAAAGGGTTAGATAACATGGAAGACACACGGTCAGACGGGAGAACATAAAGGAGGTTATCTTGGATTAATTATCCACATAGTACTTACAAGTAGGGATACACATAAATACATATATGTGAATATAAACATACACGATAGGAGGTATGGTATCCTACAGAGAAATATAATAGCCCAACTAATTCCTCAGCACAGGTGGCTCTCCACAAACTGTTCGTTCCGCAAGCACCCTCTCTTGTGGCCCCAGGGCCCCCAAATTGACCCCTGGACGGAGTGGTGACGTCGGGATTCCGATCCCTGTCCACACTTGATCCGGGGAATCCTATTCGCATCCGGGAATTCCATTGGGTGGTAAGTGAGAGGTGTTTGGGTTATGGGGGTGATGTTGGTGATGGGTGTCCCTCTGTCCGGCGGAGCTGCCATGAGCACGGTTTACTTCGGTGTTTAGACTTCAAAATGGATTTACATGTTGCGCTACCTAGATGAACTAATCTAAAACTCAAAATTTCCTATTAGACAAATCCATGCTCCCCTGAGGAAGCAATATGTGAAACGCGTAGGGACTGGATATATGGATTTCCCAAATGAATACGTATGAACAATAATGATTTGGAATTAGGATGCAACTGTTTTAATGTATTTAGGATGAGATTGAACCAAGATTCTATTTCATGAAATGTATACATGTGTTTTATTATATGTAAAATAAATATAATGTTTATATCGAACAAGTCAGGTGTTGGTGTTATACCTCTCAAAGAAACCCCATTTCTCTGTGTGTTGTTGCTAAAGGTTATTACCTAAAAAAGGGGGAGAGGTTACACCTGGAGACCACTGAGGCAACAACTCACCATTGTATTTCTAATACAATAATGTGCAACAATAAAGTTCAACCCGATAGAACACCTTTGGGATGAATTAGAGCGGAGACTGCAAGCCAGGCCTTCTCCTCCAACATCAGTACCTGACCTCACAAATGGGCTTCTGGAAAAATGGTCAAAAGTTCCAATAGACACACTCCTAAACCTTGTGGACGCCTTCCTAGAAGAGTTGAAGCTGTTATAGTGGCAACTCAATATTGAACACTATGGACTAAGACTGGGATGCCATTTAAGTTAATGTGCATGTAAAGGCAGGCGTCCCAATACTTTTGGCAATATAGTGTATGTCCCACTGTTGGGTCTCTCATTGATTAGAGTAAAACTGAATGTTACTGAGAAGCCTTGATACGGCCATGCATCAAGGAAACTTTTTTTATTGTTTGTGTCTTTCATTTTTATACACACAAACAATAAAACACACACACACACATATTGACTCACAAACAGTAATGTCTTGCAGTTTTACTGTAATATGAGAGCAGCACTACCAAGCCAAGTGGTAAAAAACTTTTCTATTTCTGACAGTTTACATAAAAAAACAATCCTACCACAAAAACTAACATTCTACCTACTAAAAAAAAATCATATGAATCAGGTGCCAAAATGTCAAGGTGGAGATTGCATGCCTCCCTTTCCTGCTCCATTTCAGACATTAGCTTTTTTCTCTTCGATGAATCCAATGCAACGTTTATATGTATCTAGGCAAATAAAGGTAGCGCTTAACAGAAACAAAATTACAACAGTGATCAAACTGTTTTTAACTAATCACATACAACAAATCCTTATAGCATCAATGTCTGGAGAAAGAAATGAATACTGGGTACTGTTATCCATATACAGCATCCATCACATAAAGTGATAAGGCTTTAAAAACGGTCGTACACAGCTTGAATATGAGCCAATTACTGCTAAATCAGCCATAATTTGAGCCATGGGTGGCCCTGTCAGAACCACCTTGCTCCACAAAAGTCCACAAAAAAAAAATCTAAGGAGCTGGGTGGAACATTGTCAGCTCAGCAGTGATTGCACCCTATCAGATGCAGTCTCTGTTCAGATATTCAGACAGCAATGGGTGCTGACTGTCTGAGTACAATAACCTGCAGGGAAGATTCCTCCATCCATGCTGTTTAGTGTGGATAGGGGATCAAGTGATTTATCTATACATGAATGGCTAGTCATATACAGGAACATCCAAACCGTGTCACACAACACCTTGTGAATCCCTCCACCTTTGAAAACCACACTCTGAAAGGGCAAAATGACCTTATTTGCCTGCTTTTGGGATACACATAGTTAATGTTTGAACAAGAGAAAATTGTGTTTTCTACAGAAAGTAGTTTAGTTGTTTCCAAAATGATAAAACTGCATTCCTGGCCAAATTAACTTTTTCTTATCTTTGTGAAAGAAACATAAGACCTTGAAACTGTCCAGGTAATTTCTTTCTTTGTAGCTGTTCTATGGTCCATTTTAGTATTCTTTTTGAATACGGGTATGTCTTTCCATTGGTTTATGCTCCACCATCGCCCCTTTCACTGTCCATATAATCTTTTGTTTTAACAATAAACCTTTGAATATATAGTGAATACACAACTTGGTGTAACTCTTTATTCCCAAGTACTTGTCTGAAGCTGACAGCATGATCGAATCCTGGGAAACCTTTAAGAGAAAGTCCTACCAGGAGACTGAGGGTTCAAGTCTGCTCAGTGTAACTTTCCTGAGGAACCCTAACACATTCGCCGGAAGGTATGACTTTCAAACTATAGTTAAGTCATAATGTCACTCTAACCGTCCCCTCCGCTCTTCAAATGACCTTCTGCTTTCCAGCTCCCTCATCAACTCCTCCCATGCTTGCCTTCAGGACTTTACTAGAGCCTCTCCCATCCTATGGAACTCTCTACCCCAACCTGTCCGTCTATCTCCCACTCTGACTGCCTTAAGGCGATCCCTTAAGACTCATCTCTTCAAGGAAGCCTATCCCACCTCAAACTGGCACCGAACTATCACTTTCTCAAACAATTCATCCCCACACAGCTCCCTCCTCATGTATCACTTGCTCCTCCCTTTAAGATTGTAAGCCCTCACGGGCAGGAACCCTTCTTACCATCTTATCTTGAATTGTATTGTAATGTCTTCCTTATATTGTAAAGCGATGCACAAACTGTTGGCGCTATATAAATCCTGTATAATAATAATAATGTGCCTTTCAGCAATAAAATACAATGCCCAAAAAATTACTGACATTTTAAATATGTCAGTCATTTGTATATGTTGCACTAAACATTTAAGAACATATGGATAGGGCCGGGTTAGCAGAGACCCA